GGCGGTTGGCGCGCGAGGAGCCGTTAACGGTCGACCCGTGAGGAGGGGGAGGCGCGCGCCCCGCGTGTACCTCAGTCGGGAGCTGTCCCGGGTCGGGACCGGCCGGGACGGACGCGCTCCCTCTCGGGACGGGACAGGCGGCCCCGCTTCAGGCTCTGTCGTCCCCGCCGCGCTACCTGCAGCCACGGGAGCGGCGCGGGAGCAGGAGGATCCGGGCGAAGCCGCCTTGCCCGGCGCCGCGGCAGCCGCTTCCCTCCGGAGGCTTCAAGACAAGAGCCCGCTGTCACATGGCTGCCCGCAGGCGCGGAGGGCGCTGCCCTGGGCGGGCCGCCCGGCCCGGGCAGGGCCACCTCGGCTTGCGCCTGTTCGGGAGTACTCCCCGAAGTGCTCGTTAACGCAGGAAACTTTCTCTCGAAACGCCCTCAGGTCGAGGCAAAGATGACACCTGATAAGTAAGTTTGTTGGCCACGTTTCCCTAGCAAACGTGGTTTCAGACATGTTTGTCCTTAAGCATAAAGGCTGGTTTTGAGTGATGGTGTATGTTAAAATGCAGTTATAAAAATTAACTTGTCAAGTAGAGATCCCCAACATAATTAACTGCTAGGAATCCGGTAGCATTCCAGTTAGATCAACACCCACATTTCCTTTGTTAGGATAAAGAAATTACTTCAGAAGGACATTGCTGCCCTTCAGCTGAACAGGACATTGTTGAAGGTCAAAACAATCATGACTCAGCAGGAATGAGGTCATTAACCTCATTATAAAATAATTTGACCTTAGTTTGAGAGGTTCCAGGCTCCGAATCTGAAAGGTTTAGTGGTCTTTATGGTAAGTTTGGTACATAATACCTGGAGTTTAATCCTAAGTATTGAAATACAGAAGTATGTTTACAGAACAGGGAAGCAAAGCATGAGAGAGACTGTGTATTTCTGTGGCTAGTGCAACTGTTTAAATGAGGAAATACTCCATATATCTCAAGCCTTTTTTCCCCGCCCCCTCAGTGTCAGAAAAGCCTTTACATCACACATTTGGTGACAAAATGGAAAGAAAGATGACTATACAAAGTTTGAGTTGAAAAGAAGACCAGATGTTTGGACTAGTGTCAGGTGGTCACCTTAATGTACTATGGGGCTCATAAAAGAATAAGTAAAAAAGCTAAGAGTTAGGGCCACAGCTATTGTGGGTAATAATAAGGGTGTAAGACATGGAACTACCAACCCTTAGGATTTGTAAAAGATTCAGCCGTACAAAACCATGAGATTGACTTTAAAATAATAACACTAAAAATAAACAGTCTTTGCTTCTGTTGGTTTGGAATAAGAGGCTCAGGCAGTGTGTGTGTTTCTCTCACAGTAACTCTGAATGCCTTCATCAGCTGCTGTTGGGCTACTCCCAGACAAACCATCTGCCACCCAGGAAGCTACATACTGTAAGTGTCTGCAAGTCTGTCTCATGTTTGCCCTGCCCACGTGATAAATGAGGAAAGGGCACCTGTTGTGCCTGGACATTCAGTACACTCATTGACGGCTGATATGTTAGTCCTGCTTACTTCTTCCTGTTCCCCTAGTCATTCCTCCAGTTGCGTGCGTGAACTTGTCCAAACTTGCTAGCCTCCCATCCCAGAGTTTGCCTTGCAGTGTGGGCTCTTAGCCCTGCAGTCGAAACTGTGCTCTGTCTGTTAGACTCAGGAATCCTATGGCTTCTGGGAGTCTTGGCCTCAGTTTGGCAAGTTTGAGTCTTGTCTTTACATTTCATTCCTCTCAAATTAACCCCTAGAAACAAGAGCTTGTGATAGCTCCCTGTCATGCTCTTACTGGCTTCCTACCAACCCTTACTCAAAGGTAAGTGAGCTTCTGCAGCTTGCTTTCGTGACAACAGGCAGCTCTGTGTGCCCCAAGTGAATAAAAAGCTGCGGTCTTTTGCTCTGAGAAAATGTGATGCTCTCACTTTTTGCAAAAGCAATTACTGTGACTGGTGATTATGCAAATGGTATTCAGAATATACATTGGGCTAGTTTTGAACTATGCCTAGTTGTATGTTGTCTCAGGCCCCATAATAATCTTACATATATCTTTACATATGTCTTTGGAAAGTAGAAACAAGACTTTTCATCTGACAGCTATGAAACAGCATTTTTACAACAATGATTGCCATTGAACGAAAAACACTCCATTGATGTCAGGTAGTGCCTTTTTAAATATTGTCTGCCCTAAAGAAGTCTTTTTGCTAACCCAGTTAGTGGTTAGTTAATGTTTTGATACATCTTACTGCATTTCCAGATTGATTTTAAATATTCTAGTTCTTGATATAAAATGTAAACACTTTCTGAAAACATCAAGCTTTTTTTGGTTCACTGCTTTTGTATAGCAGAAGCTCCCACAGGTAAATTTTGCAATGTGTAAAAATGTATTTCTTTGTATGTTTTAAATTTTATTATACAAGAAAATATCCCCACCTTTTACAAAGCAGCGGTTACATTTCTTGGATACAAATTACAACTGTTTACATTTCTTTGTATTATTTTAATGCTGTATCTCTATTATACCTTCAATCTGCCTATTATACCTTCATTCTACTTTAGAGATACACCCTTTGGTGACAGTAATAAACTCATAATTAATTGCAGTGTTGATATTTGAACTGCTCTTTCACAGGCAGTCTGGCATTGTGACAATAAGAAAGTCAGAAAAACTTTTAAAGATTTGCTTGCAGGTCAACATTCAATGAAAGTAAAGTAAAGACGATCCTGAATACACATTTTATATTATTAATACTCATTTAAAAAAAAAAATAAAAAACAGAAGATGACTAAAGCTGGAATGCACATTCATAAAAATTAAGAAATTTTCTCGTTATCGCTTCAAATTGTTTCAGCTGTTATAAATATGCAGCTTTAATTCTAGCACTGCATTGAAAGCTAATGGATTTTAATTTTTAATACATTCCTATTATTGACTATGATATTCCTAACAACAAAACAACTAATGGGTCAAGTGAAATAGTTCAGTCAGTAATGGACTCATTAGTGACATCCGAGCAGTACTAGACTTATTATGTGCTTTTGTGGTCTTTAATCAGTGCAATTAATGGTGTGCTAGGCACAATTACTTTTTTGTACCCAAGAGTAACCAATATTCCAACAGCAAAAGCATGATTAAAAATGGGAGTTTCCCAAAATAGACAGGAAGTTTGTGCTAAATATGAAATGTAATTGAACTGTATTATCAAAAACTCTCTACTGTCAGGAAGTAGTGATCAACATTTTAAACAAAACAATATATGAAAATCGTAGTGACTGAAAAGGGGAAAAAGATGAACTCACTGAGTGATTGAGATACTAGGCAAATCATGTGTGTGTTTTACAAAGCCAGTGAATCAAAGGCATTATGTTTCTTATCTGTTGCTTTTGAAAGAAGAAGGAGGAGGATTTTGTAGAAAATTAATGGGATATATGAGTATTAAATACTGTATTTGAATTGGACTCAGTTAAGAACTCTGAATACAGATGCTTGGGTCTTTCTTTGTGGAGTTAAGCTAGATTCCTAGATCTACAAGTTTGGTTCCTACTCTAAATAAAGCTGCAAGTTCTCTATGTTTTGGAGACTGCTCAAAGTCATTCTAGAAAGCAGTCTGGAGAGGCACAAAGAGGAAGAAAACCGATCAGGCTAATTTGAATGGTAGTGGTGTTAGTAGTATGTACATACGGGATACACCTGAGCAGATGCAACGTGTAGCTGTGATAAAGGTAAGTGTTTTAAAAACGTGTAGGTAACTTCAGGCTTTTGAAAATTGTTTTGATGATACTAAATCTTATAGTTGGTTTATAATCCTGTTCCTCTTTCATTTCCATCCACTAAAACTCTCAGTAACAATGCTTGCAAGTGCAATTGTTCTGTAGGACATGATTATAAAATACATATAGTATGCAAGCGTAAATCTGATGTTGAAAAAATAGAACAAGAGCAAGAACTATAGAAATAGCAGAAACATGCAAGGGTCGAGTTAGTACTTTAAAAGTGAAGTAGGGTTGCATCTGTACTGGACTAAAAATCTCAGTCTCAGGCAGCATAACAGAGGTTTTCCATGAGTTTATAAATAGAAGAAGGAAGTTTGCACAAGAAGGTTTTACGAGCAAGATGAGATGTTTTAGTATGTTTCGAATTGTAAGTTATTCAGATATTTAGAAAAATTTCTTTCTCAACCAGTTGGCAAATTCTTTGCTGGCCTTGCTTTGTCACAACAGCACAGTGAAAATACTAGTTTAAAATCAGTTTGTTTTAAATGTATTAAACTTAGACTTGCAAGTATTTATCCTTAGTAAAAGATTGCCTTGCTTCAATGTTATAAATAATTCAGATTTTGTATGTTTTAAGAAGACATTTGACTATATTAGACAAACCTGTACATATTGCTGAATGATCTTTAATCCAGTTTATAAAAGGCAAGATTTTCTGGAAGTTACATTTCACATCTGTTATGTGGTACCATCTGATATCCACATGAAACCTTTTCTAACTACTGCTCTGGTGTACTGTGCCATTTTACTCAGCTTTGTTCTAGGAGAAATTTTATTTAGTCAGCATGCATATAAAATAAAATATTCAGCAACTGTCTTATACATTAGGCATTACCAGTGTATAATAAATAATGCAACAGTGTAATTGCCACTCACAAAGGGGAAAGAACTCTGTGCTTTAACTTGGAAACATTTAAAATAAAAAATACTCAGAATTATTTGATTTCTGCAAGAAACAGTGTTGAAATGCATGTTTAAAATTGATTGACATTTGTTTGCAGCAGAAGTGCAGATAGCCTCATTAAGTGATGTGCAGTTTGGCATTTGTGTTGCTTGTATGTGACTGTTGATCTGTGATGATGGTCTGTCAGTGTGCTTTGCATCTGGATTGTTTAGTTGTTGAAGTCTGAAATTTCATTCTAAGTAGCAGATATCTGTGAGATGCAGGTGGTGTATGTAGCTGTGCCAAGAAACTGCAAAGTGCAAGATATAGTTGAGACATAATCTCTGTGAACCTTACATAGCTTTGTATAAACCCGCGGTTAGGGGCTGCTGAATTGCAGCGTTGCCTGCTTCCAGAGTGACCCCGGTTTTCACCTGATTTTTACAGGGATTT